ATTGTTTTTGCTTATGCACGTTCATTCATGCGGTATACCAAATCATTCTGTTATAACATAGTTGAGAATTATCTTTATACAAAGTTTGGTAAAAAAAAAAAATAATAATCCTGAAACCTAAAAATGTATTGGTGATTTAAAAAATATATATATTGTTTTTGCTTATGCACGTTCATTCATGTCTTTTTATTTTTTTTTTATTGAGTTCCGATGTCCTTTACCAAGGACGTAGCATAACTTGTGAATGAAATATAATTTTTACATTTTTTTAATGCTCTAAATAATGTAATGACATGAAAAAATACAAATTTTTTCCTAAAATGTTTTGCCGGGTCTCAAGAGGTTAAATACAATAGTTGTTACACTTATGTGATCCGAAGAGAATTATTTGACCTGTTTTTATTTTTATGGTACAGTAAGGGCAACTTCATCTCTGCCAACTTTATTTCTTGACCCATCTCTTGTGGTTGTCAAAGAACCTCCCATCAGTTCAACAAGGGATCAAATGATTTATCCCAATTACACTCAGTTTCCTTGGGATGGGAAACAAGATAGGGGCTCTGTAAAAGGGGAAAGTGCTATAAAAAATTCTCAAGAGGTTACTCACAAGGGTGAGCTCATCTCCTCAATAAAAAGGGATATATGATATTTCAGATTTCATATTATCATCTTATAAGGATTAAGAACAAATATAGATGCACTCATGCAGCTGCCCTTCGAAAACAAAACAAAATATACAAGAGCCTGAAGGGAGAACAGATAGATGAGTACATTTATTTGATCTCATTTTAATTATAAAAAGAGAAAAAAGTTGTAAGATGTAAACATGAGATTGCTATCAATTCTTTGCTATACTACAAAAAGAGAAAACAGATCAAACTAAATAATTTTTATAAAAGTATTGCCAACTCCAAAATATTAGTCAAATAGTCTTATTTGCATTAATAAAGTTTTTTTATTCTCCCTAAATATGTGCAATAAATGGCAGATCCCTAGATTTGTTTTTTAAAAATTTAAAATAAATCAAATTAAATAAATGAAAAAAAATTATAATAACACCAATTTCTTAGTTCCTTAATTAGGATACTAACATATGGTAGTTTCTACATATCATGTGACACAGAAGAAAGGTGAGTTACCTGATCTTGGCTGTGTGGATAAACAACTAAAAATAGGTAACTTCTACTATTTGAATTTCTTGTGATGAGCTTTTTTTTTTTTAAATATCATAAAAAGGTATTGCATATCAAATGGTTAAAAATACAGGGGGCTGCATATCAAATAGTTACTGAACCTTCTCAGGCTCTTCAAATATGGGCCATCATTGTATTGTACATACTGTAACATTCAAAATGTACAGAAGGCAGACTGCAACAAAACTTACCACAATAAGCAATTGAACCTAAATTTAAAGAGCGGTCATTCCCACAGTACACAACACAATACAAGCAATAAAGGGATTTATTTAGCATCATCATTATTTTGCCATGACTGATATGATTCGTAAAATCCATGTGCACCAGCATGAGTTTTTTTTTTTTATATCAAAACTTAACTTGAAAAATCTGAACACAGCATACATATTTATAAAAGACACTGACAAAACAAACCGTTTAAATGATTGGACATTGAACATTTTTCCTTAGTGCTCATGAGCATCAATAAGGCTTCATTTATATAGACCCACCCTGATTTTAAGGTTTATTAGAAAGGCAGAGGTAAAATGAGTCTATCCTTTTTAATATGTACAGTACCTACTCATTAATATTCATGAGCACGAGGGAAAGCAGAGGCATATTCAGAATATTGCAACGTTGTGAGCGCTTCACTACTACTAAATAATAACAAAGGAATTTGGGATGATGAACAGAGACAATACACAAATGGAATTGCAGAGTGTGAAGAAACAAAATACTTTTAAAACAAAATTAGGCCATTAGCACAAGTTTAAAAAATGAGGACAAAAAGTCAAACAAAGGAATAAAACAATAACAAAAGGAGTACTGTGGCTGTCTGTGAAAGCCATCAGTTTGCTCTTGAGTTACAATACTGCAATAATCTGAATTAATTCCTGTGACAGACGACACCCTCTGGATCCAACTGTTCCACCTTTACTGGTGGTCCAGGAAACAAATCGCACCTTAACTACTTCCTCAGTAGCCCCACAGCTCTCCATCAGTTTTTCCGGCCTCCAATGTGACACAGGTATTGCAGCCAGTAGAAGGTGTACTGATAATTTCCTAAAACTGTTGAGCACAAACAGAATACAGAGTAAGAGAGTTTGCTGGTGTGACAGTGAACTTTTCATTCTATTAAATCATGTTCCAGAGAGACTCACATTTTTGAGGAACTCCTCTGCAACTACGCGAGCCCTGGCATTGACTGACAGTTTCATCTCACTGATTTCCTTATCGATCTCCTCCATGAAATGGATGACAAAGTCCACTAACTTATGCTTGTACATTTGTTCTGTGTGGAAGTTAGTAATGAGGAAACTGATGTCATATCCCTGACAAAAGAAAGGAGGGTTATTCACTGTTAAAATATCATATTACATGTAGACATTTCACAACAAAGGACTTATGATATTTGTTGGCAAGAAATAAAAATGAACTGCGAACACAAAGCTTTGTAATCACAGAAACGGGCCTAGTGTTTTTGTACGTTTCTCCTATCGCTCTCACCTCGACAGGTTTTCTTCGCAGGATGAAGAAGTTCTCAGCTCTCATCATCATGAAGCGCATGAACTTGTGACACAGGATCTTTTCAATCTCATCAGCCTTCAATGGACCAGTTGAGATGCATCATCCAATCACAGACCATTAAAGACAGAAACAAGCCATCAAACTGGTTTCTTAGCTTGTTCTATTGAAACATAAATCACATACCTACTGGCCTTCCGCAGTGGTTCTCAACCTTTGTGACTCAAAATGCCCAAAATCACCAACACAATATTCAAAGGACCCCCTCTACCAACATATTGGTATTTATATTTTTGGTATTTCTGCTGTAATTATGAAAAAATGCTTGTTTTCTAATTTGGATATATTAAACTAATCCATTATGAATACACCTTGCTTGTTTGCGTTTTAATTACGCATGATTATTTTAAAATATAAATGACAATTTATAAAATGTAAATCCCGCTGCCCCCTTGGAAATTTGCAGAGGCTCTTTAGTGGGCCCCTGGTTGAAAACCACTGGCTTTCAGTGGACTGCATGTGTTGAATCAGAGTGAAACCAACCTCCCTCTCTTGTCTCATCACCACCACAATACTTCTCTTTTTGTATTAGAACATTTTCAGTTTTCAATATATAACAATATTTCAAGACCCATCTTTGAAAGGATAGAAAGAGTGAGTTTAGGGTAAAACAACGAGTGTTCTAACCTGTTTGACAGCAATGCTGACTCGCACAGAGTTGATGGAACCTTCTATTAAGACCTTCTCTTTATCATTCCTACTGATTACAACAGGCTGAAGCAACAGCTCCTTACTGCTCCTGTTGAGATAGGACAAAAATAGTAAAGCATACACACAAACACACTGACATTCTGCATACAATGCGGTATAAATAGGCTAAGTGTCTATTGCAGTCTGCACCACAAGTGGTTTTAAACTGGCATGCTGAATCACCATCAAATGGCCTAAAATCTGCTGCATAAAAACACTATCAGGGGTCTCATGATGTCATGCATTTAAGGACCATGGAATAATCACCACGAGCAAAACAAAAAAAAACTTAATATAAAACTAAACCCCAGATGCTCATGAGTAAAACATTAGAAATTCTCATATGTCCACTATTTCTTTAAAAGCTGAAATGAAATTGACGAATATATTGAATTGGCAGGTTAGGTTTGGCTGTTCGCAACTTCTGCTAGTATTCGCTTTCAAACTATCTACCTCATATTGTTCATATTGCAAACATTTAAACATTTTAATGTCAAGTTTTTAACCAGCCAGATGTACGCCACTGACCTATATGAATCATGTACCATTTACACACAAAGAAAACACATATGCAAACAGTCACACATCTTACCGGACTTCAACCTCAGGTTTGTTGTGTCTTTCAACCACCTGCGAGGAGAAGTTTTCCAGACAGAGAGCTGCCTGCAGTGTAGCACGCACCGCATTCAGGTATGGGCGCAGAGTCGCCGTCTGATGAAACAAATCAAACTAAATCAGTACTCAGGATGATGAACCATGTCAGCTACCTTACAGCAAGCAAGCACTTAGCAAATGGCTCACAACTTCCACTCGATTTGTTCCACACACGCCTGAACCTGCAGGGGAATTCTAGGTTCTTGTCAGTTTGTAGTGGTGGCAGAACTTAAACTTTTTTTAAATTTGTATTCACAGTACTATTGTATCTAAACTGCTTTACCACGTAATATTTGTGTATCATATTTAAAACCACATTTTGCATGAGGGTCTTTTTTAAAAAGCTCCGCAGGGATAAAAAAAAAACACAGCAGTATTGGGAAAATTTAAGAACATACATAAAAAAAACATTAAAAGATAAATATTATTGTCAAAAACATAAGATTTGGCGAATAAAAAAAGTTTAGATCTCCAACAACTTGATTAGCTCCCAGATCAGTAGTTTTAAATGTATTTCCCTTTTCACTGGTGATTTTTGTGCATGCACCCTTTACTGTTTACACACAAAGTGCTCAAGGTAATATCATTCAACTGAATCGTTAATCTAATCTTGTGATAAATTTACGCTGTTGTTTAAATGAACAGGTTAAAAAGCATCCCCATTAAACACCCGTCAAGAAGGCTGTGCAGTCATTTTTATTAAAAATCAGAGATTTATTGGACATATGTTTTTTTTTGCAGTTCAGCGACATTTCATATGAAAAAACACAGTTCTAGCTTATATTCACAAAGCGTTCATCTTCGTCTAGTTAGCTAGTACAAGTATGCGGTTTAGTGCAGCAAACGAAACGAAAGTCACTTTCATAAAAAAACAAAAGCATGAGGTCAGAAACTAAAGTGGGCGCGTCGTTTCTAGAAGAACTACATCAAACCCTAAATGACAGTATACCTGGCTAAAGTCAACAAAAATATCAATATATATATATTAAAAAACCAATTCCCCTTATCTCTGTGTTCTCTTTCCAAGAAGCTATATACAAAAATATTATTCTTCATTTTCACAGAAAGTCTATTTTGATTTCTTCGCCTTAGTTGCCTTCTTCACCGGGACTTTTGGCTTTTTTGCAGCTGCTTTCTTCGGTTTGGGTGTCGCCTTCTTAACACTCGTCTTCTTCGGGGTCTTCTTTTTAACGGGGCTCTTTTTGGCGCTCTTCTTTGCAGTCACTTTCTTGGTCGCATCTTTTTTGGACGCCGGCTTTGCAGGTTTTTCTGTCTTGGTCGCCTTGGTGGCACTCTTCTTTGGCTTTGTCTCAAATTTCTTCTTATTGAGTTTGAACGAGCCGTTGGCTCCCAGTCCCTTCACCTGCACGAGCGTGTCGTTGAGCAGGAGCGCGCGGATGGAGTAGCGCAGATACATGCGGCCGTTCTGCTGATCAAACCAGCTCACGGTCTTCGCTTCCTTGTATATCTTGAAAAGCGATGAGCCGTTTTTCTCGCCCAGGGTTCGGATCGCATCGATGACGAGCTGGCTGTACTTGCCGGGCCCCTTGCTCTTCTTTTTCTTCTTTTTAGCTGGAGAAGCAGTCACGGCAGGTTTTGCCTTATTCGCCGAGGTCTTCTTCGCTTTGGTTGCTGCTGGAGCAGGGGCTTGGGCGGGTGCCGACTCTTCGACCTCAGCAGACATGATCAGATTTGATGCGTATATATGGGTGTTTCCGAGAACATCAGCTCTAGCGTGCTAGCATCATCTCAGCGTTTTGAGTCATCAGATTTAACTGCGCCACGCGGACGTGATTGAGAACAACAACACCATCAGAAGAGGTGCTTGTGGAGTTGTGTTTTCTTCCACGACTTTGGGAGCTATTATCTTGTTAGTTTGACATATATTACCAAATTAAATTATTCATATGGGAAGTGCAAAAGTTGCTCTTTCTGACAGTGTGCAAAAGTGGTGAAATAAATGCAAAATCGTGGCGCGAGAAAGCAAAGAAAAGATCTTGCCCACACAATGTCTTGCGATTTTGGGTAGGGGCACTTACTTTGCGAACGAAAATCTTTTTATAGATATTGAGACCGTTCGTACAATAAACTAAACGTTACACACACTCCAAAACAGGACACACACAGTAAAAAGGTTGAGTTAAAACCTGATGAGGATGTTTATCTTTGTATTTGAATGTGATTGTATGAGAGAGTGTGTTTATTTGTAGATCCTAGATGGATTTGATGGTGAAATTTCATGTGACCAGTTAGATGCTGAGTGTTTGCCTGTGCATGTAGACGTATAGGAACAAGTGTGTGTATTTGTGTGTGTTAGGGGGTGGATGTACCAGTGCATGTCAGACAGCAAAGAGCCACAGTTATCTAGGAATCTGAGCCAAAAGAGCCTCACAAACAGAAGAGAGTGTGCAGGAGAGTGAGAAGGAGGGATAGAGAAGATCAAATAAAAGAGAAAAACAGGAGCGGAGACTCTGACGAGTAAATAGTGAGAAAGAAAGACAATGATAGACTGCAGATGATACTGATCTGAACACAGGAGTGTGGCTAGAGAAAATCCTATTGAAGATAAGTAGTATAAAGTAGATAGCGAAATAGACACGGAACAGGTGCATACTATCTCTTTGAGCTTGTGTGGTGTCCTGAGCAGCATGTGTGTGCGTGTTTTGCTTTTGCTGGGAGCGTACATGATGTGTGTCCATGTGCTTTGACAGAGGGACATCCTGGTGGCTTTGCCACGCAACGGCAGATGTGAGGGGAGTTGCAGTGCAACAGCATCACCCCCTAAAATACATCACCTTCACTCTCAGGATTCACGTGTTAGAAAGACTCCAGAGAACCACAAAAACGCACAGGTAAGCATGACCTAAATGATCCTCGGTGAGAGATTTGAGAGTGTACTGGGCACAAATATTTTTTAAGTTGCCCTTAAGATTAATAAATGCTGCAGAAGTATTGTTCATTTTTAGTTCATTTTAACTAATGTAGTTAACTTGGCATGCTAAAAAGTGAAACCTTATGTAGGTGTCTGTATATATAATGCATTTGTTTGTTTTTTCAATGTTATTAATATTTGTTGTTTTTATTTTGTGTATTGTAAAAAAAATTATGTAATCTTTTCATTAATTAGAATTATTATTTCATTAATTGTGTTGGTAATATCCCAATAACAAATACAACTTTTGTGGGTGTGTGTAGTAGTGTAAAATATATATATATTAGCATATGTTATCATGCCTGTATTCAATATTTGCCTGTTGAAGTGGAAGTGGTGATCTCTTAGAAGTGGTGAACGCTTCACTTCTTTATGGGACTTTTCCAAATTCCCTGAAAACTGCAGTTGTTAAACCCCTTCTGAATAAGAGCAATCTTGATAACACCATATTGAGCAACTATGTGATTTCAAATCTTCCTTTTATAGGCAAGATTATTGAAAAGGTAGTCTTTAATCAGCTGAACAAATACTTAAACTCAAATGGATACCTGGACAATTTTCAATCTGGTTTACGACCGCATCACAGCACAGAATATATATATATATATATATATATATATATATATATTTCTATTCATGGAATAATTTCTGACCTTAAAAGGATATAACTGACAGAGGTACAGTATATACACACATAGTCATACTAGTATCTGGTGTAAGACTAGTGTCAAAGCAGAGTCTCAACAAACCTGTATAAAATAGTTCAGTTTAAGAAGAATATGCCTTTATTGTCATTGTATTTTTCTGTATACAACGAAATTAGGAGCGCTACTCCTGACTGGTGTTAGAAAAACAAACATATAACCACAGACAATAAATACTATAAGACTGTACAGTACAATTTTACAAGTAAATACAACAAGTGACTGAGTCCTGATATTCACATGGTGCAATCCGAGTAAAGTGACCATTTATAGTATTGCACGTTGGCCTTCACCTTGATATGCACAGTAAGTTTATACAAAAGTACAATTTAAATGGAATGAGTAACTGTGGTGATTTAGTGACTAGAGATAGTATTTCACATTGACATATAGTGTGTATTATTGCACATATATTATTGCACCTTTACTGCAGATATAGTGTTCACATTTAGTAACCATTTATTTTTTAAATACATTTTTTATTACATAACCATGCATTTCTTATTATGATGCATGTGTGATATTCTCTCCATAAGGTTCAGCATAACTGCTCGAGATTTCCATGGCGATGCTGGCAATGCATTCAGTTACAGCAAAAAGTACAATCACGATGGCAGAGCTTTCAGCACATTTGACCGGGAACATGATCGCTACGCTGCTGGTAACTGTGCCCGTTATTATGGTGCAGGCTGGTGGTTTGATTCCCGTTTGGCTGCTAACCTCAATGGGCACTACTACCACGGGCGTTACAGTGGCATCAAGGATGGCATCTACTGGGGCACCTGGTATATCCTGACTGACTAACGCACAGGGTAAAGATACTCATTTAAGAGTGTTGAAATGAAAACTAGACCAAGGTGGAGTTAAAGGGGTCATATGTTGATTAATGTAGACTGACATTGCTCTAATTCATTTCATAATAAAAAATGTAGTGTTGCGCACAGATTTTATAATCATTGTGAAATTGCTGTTTATTTTGCTGCACCGGCAGTTATAGGGTTAACCCTTTAACTTTCACCCCTAAAAGGAGCTGATGATAAAATTATTTAAAGGGGTCATATGATGCGATTTAAATTTTTCCTTTCTCTTTGGAGTGTTACAAGCTCTTGGTGCATAAAGAAGATCTGTAAAGTTGCAAAGACTAAAGTCTCAAATCCAAAGAGATATTCTTTATAAAAGTTAAGAGTCTTTCACTGTGGACGAAGTGGAGTACAGCCCGGGGTCGTCACATGTGGTTGCCGCAAGCCCGCCGGCCGCTCCCTTTGTCGAATCCGCCGGCCACGCCGTTCTCAAGCCTGCCCGCCGCTGCTCACTTTAGCCTGCCGTGTGTGACGCTGTTTTGTTGTGAAAGCGAAACTACTTTGTTTGGCCTTCCAAAAGAGGACACGACTAGAAATCAGTGGTTAAGTTGTATTTACAACACTGTTGCAGAACAGTTCAACCCAAACATTCAGATGTGTGCAGCTCATTTTATGGAGGACTGTTTCCTGATCCTGGTAGAGTAGACTACAATGCTGGCTGTTCTGACTCACAGACTGTAAGTACGTTTTTATATATAAAGGATTCGCCACTGACGATACAAACGTGAGTTTTGAGCAGTGTAGAGTAGCGCTTGTTGTTTGTCATTTCTCCGATAACAAATGATATATGATATATGATATATAACACTTTATTGTCAGACAAGTTTCACTCCTAAATACTTGTATGTTTTAACCTGTCTGATTTTTCCATTTTGAATAAAAACAGGCGTTATATAATTATCAGATGTAGACCCAAATATAATCTCTTCTGTTTTACTTATATTAATAACAAGATCATTGTTCTCGCACCACTCAACTAATTTAGTCACACCCTGTTGATGAAACCCAGGACTGTCCCCGTCATTCAACACAGATATTAAAACAGTGTCATCAGAATACTTTAAAATATACTGATTTAATATGTCCGTTCGACAGGCATCTGTATGGTGAAAAGGATGGCAGAACTGATGCAACCCTGGGGTACTCCAACATTTGTTATGATAGCGGATGACAAAGTTTTATTCACTTGCAGACATGGTTTTATGTTTACGTGGCGCGATGCAACGCAATGCGTAAAATGACAGTATAAGTCATTATAATCCGTAATTATGTCCCCACTGGATGCAACAAATGCCTGGTTTATAATGGGTTTTAATGTTTTTGTGTCGTCGCTCAGGCCGGACACGGCATCACAGTATGGTAAGGGTGTAACATTTCCGTCACACGCTTGAGGTATTCGGCCAATCACAACGCACTGGATAGCTGGCCAATCACAGCTCACCTCGCTTTTTCAGACCGATGAGCTTTGTAAAAAGCAAAGCGTTTCAGAAAGGCGGGGCATAGATGAGAAACATTAATGTACAGTATGTGGAAAATAATGTGTTTTTTAACCTTAAACCGCATAAACACATTTCATTACACCAAATACACAAAATAATGTTCTTTTTAGCAACATCATATGATTCCTTTAAGGAAAAAAGTTTTTTAAATGACAAATCCTTGTCATGTAATCATACTCTTGCGCTATTTCATTGTAGTATTTCATTTCAGTAATGGCTTGTAATTATATAACCTGGACCTGCCATTAAACTTGAGATTTTTAGATAATTGTATGATATGAAAACACGTTTATAAACATTTGTTCTAAAATAAATGTCAAATGTCATATTTTAAGCAGACTCTTTTACTCAGTGTATATAATACATTTTCAGTTACAGTTGCTCTTTAAGACACAAATAAACTATCATATGTTTTTCATGCTGCAAATTTTTTTTTTTTTTTTACATGGTCTTTATTTAAAGTCAACATGAAATTAAATCTATTTTCCAAATGTGTGTTATTGATCTTGTTGTGAACAATTCATCTGTGCATGTTTCTTTTCTTAATCTCGTAATTCTTAATCAAAATGTCATGACTGAATCTTCCAGTGAAACGACAGGTGACGTATGCAATCATTCTCCAATCATTTAATCTGCTTAAATGCCACCCCTTTCTTATAACTGACTGCAAACTCCACATCAGCCAATGTGCCTCCATCCAATCAACAACCAATGAATAGAACCAAGTCACCGCCCTTCATTTTTCATTTTTTAATAATCCGTTTTCTCGAATATATATCATAATACAGAAAAAAATATCTGT